GCGGGGAGTTGGGGGGGGCTGGGGGAGCAGGGGGGACTGGGGGAGCCGGAGGAATTGGGGGAGCAGGGATGATTGGGGGAGCAGGGAGCAGAGGGGATGGGGGAGCAGAGGCGATAGGGGATGGGGGCTCGGGACGGGGGAGCAGAGGGGACGGGGCTCACTGAACCCAGGGCTGTGCACGGCAGCTGCTACACAGCAATAACACGGTGCTAACGTGGGATCCCGGGTCCTGCCGGGGCCGGCGAGGAAGCTCCGAAAAAGCTGCAGTGACCCGCGATAAACGGAGGCAAAACAAAAAAAAAAAAAAACCCAACACAACTGCAAACTACAGCGCAAAGGAATCCAGGGATTTTTAATATCCATGAACACGTACCAGTCCTGGTGTGGTGTTTGCACACTTCCACGGTATTACATAAAAAAAGATAAATAAATATGCAGAATTGTTACTTGGGCTGAAGTTTTGCTTCATTAGGGTTTTTATTTTGTAGTTGGGAGGGTTTGGGGAAGCTTCAGGTTTTTGCATTGCCTGCCATAACATGTGACAAGCAAAACAGAATTGCTTAATCAAAAGAAGGCTCATCTAAAATATGCTTTCATTCTGCAATCAAGGCAGTATCTCAGCAGAGCCTTAATGAAGTCAAATAGCTTTTGCATGCCCAGGATCTTAAATTGTTTTAACAGTACAAATACTTAATTTGAAATCTCCTTTAAGCTTTAAAATATCACTAGATTTTGTCGTATTCTGAACATTGTAAATATATTTTAAATATTCCCAGTGATTTCTCAAAACCTTAACTCCCATAGGCTTAGACTTCCAAGGTTTCTAATTATTATTGCAAAGAAAAACCCTTCAAATATTAATCCTGCAGACTCTCAACCTACAACGCAAACAAACATTCTAATAGAATTACTTTGAAACCAGTCTTTCTCTATCACCTTTGAATACTCTGCACTGACTGTACCTGTATTAAAAATGTGAGCTCAAAATCTTTAAATAAGACAAGAGTTTAAATTACTCTGGAAAACGTTTCCAATATGGGAATCCCTTCTAAAGCAGTGTTGTTGGCCTGCATTTTAGAGTCTGAATAGTTTGCAAGTAGGAAACATCCCAATGAAGTAAGCTGAAGTACCAGCCCATTTAAAAATAAAGGTAGGAAGAACTGTCAACCCGTTTGTAGTTTGCCTTCTTTGAATCAGATGGCCATCAGGTGGTGGTGGAATTTTTCTGCCCTGAGGAGCTCATGCTGGATGGACCTGTCGTGAACAAAGGTCTCACTTAACCAAGTAGCTGTGAAGGAAATAAAGTTTTTAAAATGTTACTAAGAATTATTTCGTTAGTGTAACTCTTGCCAGACAACAAGGGATCAAATGACACACAGAGGCTGTTTTTATTTCCTATAAACAGTAAGGCTGAGGCTTGAAATGTTGCAGTTTTCAGAATGACTACTCACAAAAAATAAAATTAACTGAACTCAGTTCTGAATAAATTATTTATCATAGGAATGATAAATTACTTCGGAAAAAGAGACATTAGTGGATTTAATATTTTTTAAGGTGGTATTAGTAGAAAGGAAACAACAGTTTCTAAACAAGTAAAGCAATCTTAGGAGATTATAAAAATTAATTATATCCTTCAGCAATCAGACATGAAGAATTGTGCTGCATAGCAAGAAATACTTCGCTTTTAATAGCACAGAAAAGTTGGGGCTAGAACAACCACTATGTGTTACGAGATTTCAAATTGGGAGTAAGGGTGCAAGACAATAGTTTAGGAGAGTACACTAAAGGACAGAATGGGAATGTTACTGTTGTTACTTGCAGTCTTCAAGTTTTTTCTGGAGAAAATAGGGAAGTGCATTGCTGCTGCTCTTTCTGCAGTAAAGGTTACACTGGCAGATACTACCACAACTGCCAAACTGTTTCTTGAAAGCAAACAAGGTTTAGCCCTGACAAATCCAGAATTTCCAGAGGGGATGGGCAAAATGCCATTTAGAATTGAAATGTCACCACTGCTGATTAACAGCCTGAGGCAGAGCAGAGATTAATCACTCAAAACACATAGAGCAGGATAAAGGGAAAAGCAAGTTTATTCCCCTTTTCCTATTAACTAGTTTCTGACCTGATGGAGAAGCAATAGCTTCTGTGCTCTGCCAGGCCCTTGGCTGTTTTGATAAGTTACAACTAGCATGGCAATTAATGCTTCTTTTTCTTCCCCCACTGTCAAGTTAACTTCAACTGCACAATCTTTCCAATTCATCATAAAACAAATTATCTTGAGTGTATTCCTACATACTGAGTATGAAGGAACTTGGAATGTGTAGTCTGAGTATCAAAATATGCCTCTGATCTCAGCTCCACCCTGATATAAACTGAGACTAACTGCGTTCTTCAGCTTTACAGAGATGAACTCCAACAAAACCAGTGACAGCATAACTGCCATGCTTCATTATCGTGACATCATCCTCAATGTGCCAACAAGCTATAGAACAGATAGCACACACTTTTGACATCAATTAGGATGACTATATTGACAGCAGTCCAGTTCTCCTGATTTATATTTGCTACATAATTTGATGGGATGTGGAAGTACACCTTCACAGGAAGTAACAGAAGTCCATGGACAACTACAAAGCCACCACTCCTTTTGCTTCCAGCAGTAGATATTTGGCACCTCAGCAGATATTTTGAGAAGCAGAACAGCCATATATTTCTTTGTCCCAAACAGGTATTTCTCATTCCTGCATGAGCAAAGGTTGGCATAGAAGAAAAAATGGGACCAAGTAGGAGTCTCTGCACATGCAACACAAGCACAGCAGCCCATGTTAGACCTAACACTGCTAGGCCTGCTGGCACAATTATCCTCCTCCCAGTAAGAAATCTTCTGGTTCTTTAGTCTCGGAAACATTAAACATAGTAAGCTGGGTCAGATAAATGCCAACCTATTTGCCAAGTAACCTGATAGTCATGTGCAGTGTTGCTAGTTAGGTGGGAGATGTTTACAATATTAAGCTCCAAGTAACACAACAATAACACACTAACACATCACCTAAAAAAATAAGTAAATCTCAGTATGAACACTAGCCTTACCTGCTGGAAAGATATGTGAACAATGACAATGCTCTAAAGGTCACTCCCTTTCTACTTAGCATTGCAGATACTCTGTTATCACAAAATCTCCAGCAATGTTTAACCAAGTACTGATAATATAAAATACCACAGTCCCATAAATTAAAAGATGAACTTGCTGTTCTTTTTATTGAGCTGGCATTATAACCTGAAACATTTCTTACTTCCCTAAGTATGCAAATTATCTGTTGAAGCTAGTTTTGCACATGATTTTGTGGTAACCATTGTGTTTGTCCATACCTCCAGATGCTGTGGGGAGTTGCATTATTCATTCTGTAAGAATAAGTACTTGATGTTTAAAAGCAATGGATCAAGGTGGCTTTTCTCTGCTGTAATTTTACTGATCACAGTGAATGGATGAATGTATAAAGATCCACCAAAAACTATATGCATCAGTTCCACAAGAGGAAGCCTGTCCACAGTTGTTACGTGGAGACTGAAGACATAGCTTATTTAGGTACAGTAATTATTCCACAAACTTATTGCTTGATTTAACTTTTGATATGTGCATATTCAAAATCCCAGGTGTGGATTAACCAATTCAGGTCCTCATGAAGAATTGGCTCAGTATTCCATCTAAAACCATGTGTGTGTATATGAACAATGGGTATAAGGAAGAAATTTAATGACATCTCAACTACACAATCTCAATTATACTGTTAGTTTCAGAGGTATTGGTCAATTTGCAGCTTTTATTTAATCATGTACATAAAATCCTCCAATTTCACTTACTTTGAATTCAGCAGAGTATGTGTTGACTTCAGTGGGTACTGAATCAGGCACTGTGGAATTGTATCTGGTTTTACATACTCTAGTTTTACAGATGTAATTTCATTGACTCAATTAGGCTACCAGTGATTATGAAGTGCAGCAGCACAAATTCCTCATGAGATCTCTGCATGGAAGTGAAGTGAAGGATGTTTCTGAATAGCAAATTATTTTTAGGATACTTTCCTCCTCTGCACAGACTTCAAGTCCATATTCATTCTCACAATAGTAATAGTACTTAACCATCCTCTTTGGAGAATGATCTTAGCTAGAGTCGTTTGTAAGGCTTATTAAAGTGAACTTATATACTTGCAGATT